ATAATGTGGCCTCACTTCTTTTGTTCTGCTTCTAAAGTCTTCAATGGTTTAAAATTAGAATAGAGTATTCTATTATTGGTTCAGTTTAACGTTGATCAGTATTTTTTAATTCAGTCTAGTTCAAAATAAAATAATTTAAAATATTTTTTATTTTAATCATAATTAAAAATAAATTTACAATTTTTCTTTCAAAGATTTATAATTAAACATAATTGAAAACAAAAGCATAGGAGAGATAGACAATTATGATTAAACATTATAAGAGTAAGAGAGGGAAGAGCTATATTTTCTAGAAAACGAAATAGAGAGAGAGAGAGCATATGCATAGCAGAGCACTAGAGTATATGACACATCAACACTATTGGTGGGGCAGAGACAGAGCAGAGGAATGGTAGACAACAATTTAAAACATAGTAGAGGAAAAGAGAGTAGACACAGATATAGATGTAGTGGAGAGAAGAAGTAGACAGCAACAAAGCGAAGAGGAGAGGCAGCAGATGAGGAAGGTTGGAAGCAACGGGTACATAAGCGAATGAGAGGACAATGGTGGCTAGACACGTTTGATGAGGAAGGCAAGAAGCAGGAGCAGAAACCTTGCATTTCACATTTCACATTAGGGTTTTTTTATGTTACTTTTGGGTATGTATATTTATTATATATACTATATTTTTCAAATTTTTCGCTTTTACTAATTCAAACAGAGATTGATCTTTTTAATCAATAGCCTCTTGGACCAAAGATTGGATCAAACATAGTATAGTCCAATCTAATCTAAATTGAAAAACTTAATTTGATCTAGTTTTTCAGTCCAAACCAAAAAATAAACACCTCTATTCACTTCAAATCTCCTTTCCTCCCTCACATTGTCATGCTACTTCTCTCTTTCATATTGTCATGAATCAACTTAGCTGCAGCATGAATCAAACTGAAAATAAGTAAAAAAAATAAGGGACAATTGTTCAAATCAAGCTCTTTTTATTTTTTTTATAAACATAATATAATAATGTTTGTATTTTATAAAAACAATTAATAATTAACATATTATCTTTAGTACAATGGATAAGATATAGCAAGAAACACATGAGACTTTTTAGCATTTTACATCCTATAATAAGATATAGATACGAAAATAATAAAACATCATATTTCATAAGGTGAATATTGTTATTAGTTCATAGGAGATAGACAAAGAGTAATCACATAAATGGTGGCTTAAAAGGCATAAATTCTAACTAGAATATTTCAATATCCTAGATCACATAAATGGTGTTACTGTCAATCAAGTTCTCTGTGGCACGATAAGAGTCATTTAATATTTAAAATATCCTCTCAAATGTGTGATCTGCCACGCAATGTACACATGGCACGATTGCGCTCACCCAACGCATTTTTGCGTGATTCTCTACTTGTCCCTCAGTTGAGGTGTTGGGCCTTTTCAAAATTTACAATTTTATCTCATTTTTAAAAAAATTCTATTCATTTGAATCTTTTTTAAATTATAGATTTTTTTTTCAATTTTCTAAATCTTATTCAACTTGATCCTTATGATATTTTATGTGATTTTTATTTTTATTTTTTCTTAACATTCAATTTTTGTAATTTTTTCTTATTACAGTCTATGGTAAAATTATTTAGTAATTTATTTTCTATTAACTTTTTGTACGTAAAATATACTTTTCTTTGATTAAACAATTACGGAGATTGGTTAGTATATCCTAACCAGAATTCCGTGTGGATTTCTGGTAACGTTCCAAGCTTCATCACTCTCAGTTTTGGGATTTTTATCCAACATGCAACATCATATCTTCTCTTCCGAGAAGAAAGCGCTATCATACGCATAGAACCTGATTAATTGCACAGTATTATGCTAAAATTTATAAGTCAACGTCACATCGCTTATATGGAGTTACTTGTCATGAAGTTCACAAAAATCTTTAAATTACATTACTACAATATATCTACATCTACTTTACAACAAAACTTTTTAAATCACTAAAAGTTTCTAAAGTCTTTCTTTAATATTGAATTTGTTTATGATATGAACTAATTTGTACTGGAAGAGGGTATGAATTAGGGTAAGCTTCACAAAATTAGTAAAAATAAGGCACTGTGCAAACAGAGATATGCAAACAAAGAATCATATAGATTTGATAAAACAAATGCATATTTTATTTTAAAGAAAATCTAATTAATTATACTCATCATCATTGTCGCAAAATATAACCTAAGAAAACAATCAAGGGTCTCATCCTTTTCATTACCCATTTTAAACATATTCATATTTAGATATTGTACGTAAATTCATAAATATCATCATATCATATCGGATTCATATTTAGATAATTCTATTCCGTTCACAAAAACCATCAAACGACAACATACTCGTATTCAGACAATTTTTATTCCCAATAATAAGTGTTATCAGATCATATTTGTATCCAAGTATAATGCACATATCAAATCAATTACCTTTTTTTTCACTAAAGAATTAAATTTTAGTTACTTTTATATTTCATCATGCGATACTCTTTTTTTTACCAATATCATTATTAGTCCATAGGGATTCTCTCTATATGTGAATACACGAAATATTTCATAACAAATCATATTCATTGACAATCATCAGCCATCTCCATACTCCATCTGGCATGAGTGGCACAATCATCGATCGTCCTCACATCTCGTCCGGTATGAGAGCCACAATCATCAGTCATCCTAATACCTCGTCCGGTATGAGTGCCACAATCGTCGGCTGCTCCCATTACCTCGGCCGCTATGGGCACCACTAAATTCTTTCCTAGCCCCGTCCGACATTGAACTTTCCAAGTAAGTTCACCACATATATCATTATTACACACGCACCCTCTTCTTCTGACACCTGTTAAATGGATTTTCTTTGTCATTTAAAGGTTTTATTCTACTGCTTTGTCAATCAAATACATCACTCTAACATACATGCACAACCTAGATACTAACATATTCAAGCTCATAACAAGTATACATGTTTTGTGTATCAAATACGCTCATAAAATCTATTAAACAAACAGTCAGCACACATATATGTATACCCAACCTACACAATTTCCATCATATTAAGCATTCACCCAACATATTATATAAATAACAAGACAAACACAATCTATATCTACACATATTACTTATATATATTTATGTTAGTACCGTTATATTTAACCATAAACTTATCTTAATTACGCATATATATATTTTTTCTCACAATGCACATATTACATATAATTTCAATTCAACACACAAATTACTGTAATTATATTAATCATACAATGCATATATTACATGTGATTACAATTCAACACACACAAACTACTACGATTATATTAATCATAATCCTACAGTACCTATAAGTATATCAAACGCAAACACAAAACATATATTCACTTATATAACTACATATATACAATTTCTTGAAATACCTATGTACATTAAACACACACAGCTTATATCCATACAAAATACATATATATATATATTTATACCTTAAATCTACATATATGCAACTTTTACACTAGCATAAATACACACATTATTTTATAGGTGCACACATGTAGGTTCAGTGTATATGCATATTTACGCTCATACAATCACACATAAACTTATCTATTTACATTTTCGCACAACTTCATACCTACTTAGATATATATATAAACACAGAAAATTTATTTAACATATACTGGTAGCTTACTTATGCATACATATGTTTAATATTACCTAATAAAATAATATAACATACTCACCCTCAAACATCTATATATACATAGTACAGGAATACACACACAACCCTTCCTGCATTTGTATACCTATAAATTGATATATATATATACACACACATGTATACAAAGAGTATTAAAAATATTTAACAATCTCATAGTAGACCTAGCAGCTTCCATATATATACCATAAAAACACATAAAACAACATATTATATACATATAATTTTCACACTAGGATCAGTCTGCACATAATCATAGAATCACACACATTCCATTCAACATACATATGTTGGTTTATGAAATTGTCTATTAAAATAATACCTGAAAATCAATTATTAGATTTTAAACAATTATTTTAAGTCAATAAATTATTTTAGGAAAAATTATGAGATCCTCAAATAAAAACTAACTCAACTCTTACATAAAGCTTGATAAGAAAATGTGTCGGAATCCTTACTAGGTTATGGTATATGGTTCTCTCTTGGACATGCAGTCCTCATCGCTGGAGTCACCATGTGCTAGCACATGCACCACTGCATGTTGGTTGAAATTCGCCACGGGATTGCAACATGTTCAATTGCAGAGTAAATCTCGCAAAGCCACCAAGCTTCCATAGCATGCAGAGACTTCTTCTACCGTGCACATATCTGGGAAAACCCGCACACATCCATCGTTGTTGTGCATGCCAGTCTGTCGTGCCTTCTTCCTTGCAAAGATTTGGTCACACAAGGAACAGATCCGCTCTGGTTCGGCCATTGTAACCTCTCTGCTTTGCTGGACCATTGCACTCCGCGCTAGTCTTCTTCTTTTTATTTTTATTTTTCTTCTTTCTCTATTGCATCCCTCTTTTTCTCTCTTTCTCTCTCCCCAATGTTTTTTCTTTTTCTTATCTATCGAATCTCTCTCTCTCTATCCCTTTTCTCCCGTTCTCAGCTGCCTCTCTCCCTTTGCGGCAGAAGGTCTTTGTCCTGACCTCCCATCGTGTCATCCCTCTCTCTCCTGGATGCTACACTGCAAGTGTATAGAACAATCAATAAAATCTAACCTAGAAAGAAAATATAAAAGAAATGAGGAAGAATTGGCTCGTTCTTATCAGTTTTCCCCTTCTAGCATAGCGGCTTAACCTTATTCCTCTCCTTCCTCTTTTTTTTTTCTCTTCTGTCGGTTAGGGTTTGAGGCTGACATAAAAGAGGTATAAATACCTACCCTTAAAGAGTTTTGGTCGTTCAATTGAATTCTCTGTGGCGTAACGAGGATTGTTCAATATTTAGAATTTCCTCTCAGCCAATCGCACTCACTCAATCGATCGAGTTCTCCACACATTGCTCACTAATTTGTTATGTTAGACACCTCAGCTGTTGAGATGTTGAGCATTTTAAAAATTTACTATTTTTTCTCATTTCTTAAAAATTTTATTCATTTGATTTCTTTTTAAATTACAAAATTTTCTTCAAGATTTTAAATCTGTTTTCACTTGATCCCTGCAATATTTTCTTTAGTTTTATTTTTATTATATTTATATTTATTTATTTATTCTTGACATTTAATTTTTAATATTTTCTCTTACTACAACCTATTGTAAAATTATTTAGCAATTTATTTTCTATTAACTTCTTGCATGAAAAGTACACTTTTCTCTTATTAAATAATCATGAAGATTAGTTAATATATATTTACCAAAATTAGTATGGATTTCTAGTTACGATCCAAGTTTCCTCACTCTCAGTTTTGGGATTTTTCATAATGCAGGTGCATAAAAGAGTCAATAAAATCTAATATGTAATGAAAATTGAAGAAAAACGGGGAAGAATCGCCAGTTCTTACTGGTTTTTTTCCTTATGACGACGGTTCAGCCCTATTTAACTCCTTCTTCGACATATTCCCTCTCCTCTCTTTTTTTTCTCTTCTTTCGGTTAGGGTTTGGGGCTAATAGAAGAGAGATATAAATACCCGCTCTAAAAGACTTTTGGTTGCACTCTCCCAATGCATTTTTTGCGTAGTTCTTCACGCATCGCTCGCTAATTCATTATGTTGGACACCTTAGCTGTTGGGGTGTTGAACATTTTCAAAATTTAAGTTTTATCTTATTTCTTGAAAATATTATTCATTTGCGTTCTTTTTAGAATACAGATTTTTCTCTAAATTTCTAAATCTTTTACAACTTGATCTATGTGATATTTCATTTTGTTTTATTTTTATTATTTATTTATTTATTTATTTTTTCTTAAAATTTGATTTTTGACACTCTTTCTTACTACAGCTTATTGTAAAATTATTTAATAATTTATTTTATGTTAAGTTCTTATACAAAAAATATATTTTTCTTTAATTAAACAATTACAAATATCAATTAATAAATCTTTACTGGAATCGGTGTGGATTTTCGATAACGATCCAAACTTTCTCACTCTCAATTTTGGGATTTTCATTGTACAGTTTCATAAAACAATCAATAAAATCTAATCTAGAAAGAAAATGGAAGAGAAACGGGGAAGAATTGACTCATTCTTAACACTTCTGTCTTTTGTCGCTGCAGTTCTGACATGCTCCTCTCATTCTCCGGTGTATTCCTTCACCTCCTTTTTTTTTTCTCTTTTGTCGGTCACGGTATAGGGCCAACAGAAGATGTGTATAAATATCCATCCTTAAAGATTTTTAGTTGGTCGATCGAGTTCTTAGTAGCGTGATGAGGGCCGTTTGATATTTAAAATTTTCTCTCAATCATGTGATCTGCCATCGATATACGTGTGGCACGATCGCACTCACCCAACACATTTCTTTGTGGTTCTCCATGCGTCGCTCACTGATTGGCTATGCTAGACATCTCAGCTTTTGAGGTGTTTGACATTTTTACAATTTACAATTTTACCATATTTTTTGAAAATCCCATTCATTTGAGTTCTTTTTAAATTATAGTTTTTTCTTAATTTTTTAATTTTTTTTAACTTGATCCTTGTGATATTTTCTTTGGTTTTATTTTTATCATATACATATATTTATTTATTTTTCTTGACATTATATTTTTATTATTTATTTTTCTTAACATTAGATTTTTAGCATTCTTTCTTACTATAGTTTACTGCAAAATTATTTAGTAATTTATTGTGAAGCGCCCTGGAAATTAAAAGAAAACGTATATATATAAATTCTAAGTGAGGAACCGAAATAAAATATTATGATTAACATCCCTTACACAATAACACATATGAAAGAATAAGCAAATTAAAGTAAATAATAGAAATGAATACTGTAAGGAAAACTATAAAATCTTTAGCCATCTACTCGCCGTCTTCTTACGAAACGGGCTCGGGAACCAAGTCCTCCTGATATGAAATGGTTAAGTAAGGAATGAGCTACACTAGCCCAGTAAAGATGTCACAGTATCTCACTGTCACAGAGATAAAGGTTGGTGGAAAACAAAAACGACCAATGGAGCATAATTAATAATAAATTCCTTTATCAATATGAAAACTCTTCATCGTCCACTTACCTCGGCGAGATTCGTGAAAAGAACTTATGAAAGCAATAACATTATAATATCATGAAATCAAACGCACTCTGTAACATAACACATATCATACTTTTAACATTTTAATCATCAGGCAATAAATTTTCTCTTTTATCAGCCTACCAGTATCCATGGGGATCCATAAGGGTCCCCACTACACGTGAACCATTCACTTTAACAACTTAATTCCAGGGCCGTCCCCATACCCTGTCTGGTATGGGTGCCAAAACGATAAACTTCAATACCCCATCCGGTATGAGGGTGAAGCGGGTCATCCCCATACCTCGTCCGGTATGAGCGCCAAAACATTTAAAGTCTCTATATCCCGTCTGGTATAAGAGACAACATTCCCAGTAAGGTTCCTTATGGACCCGATCCGTCCACCATCTTCTAAGATATCTGGTGAGGCTGTCAATTTGTCCATTTATCAATTCACATACCTTTTCTATTCTTTTCTTAGTTTTCTGTTTCTCACATAATCATGAATATTTAAACCAGTAACGAGCATCCAACAATGCAGGCATATCATCGGATTCACAAGATCAAGCCATAATGAAGTAAACAGTGATTCATGCATTCAAAATCATAAAATAAATAGATCAGATACCATAATGCATTTAAAACTGTAAAATAACTTAAATAGCAACTGACCGAAAATATATCAGATTAGGACTCCATTAGCAACCGTAATTAATTATACATATCTATTAATTCATAAAGTACCGTTTTATCATTTATTAAACTTTAATGACGTGATAGGATATAGGGTGAGAGATCCTCACTTGATTCGAAGTCTAAAATCGATTTTTTACTGTGCCCATGGGCAATCCCTAGATTCCCTGAATTTTTCTCTGGGAACTGAAACACATTTTTGGTACCTGCACATGTCCCCAAAAAACTCCAAATCAGACCCAAGGCCTCATCGGCCAATTTCGAAATTCCGGCGATCCGCCTCGAGTTGGCTGTTTTTAGCTAAATTCAGCCAAATTAGCACCAGTTCATGCGAGAAAACACATGTAGGGCCCTCGGTGGGCCAAAAAATACAACAAACCGAGACTTACCGGCGGCGGAGCTCTCGGGTGCGGCGGCTCCTTCGTCGCGAGTCGCGATTTGGCATTTTGTTTCGGTCAACCTGTAGAGGAAAGGACGGTGGTCACAGTAATGTAAAAATTATATTGAACGGGAATCGGGAAGAGTCTCATCGGAGGCAAAAATCAAAGAAACCCGCGGTGGTGCCGCTGGGTTTTGGTAGTGTTTTTCGGCCAATTGGCCGATGGTTAGACTCTGATTTAGCCACAGATATGTTCAACATCGAAATCCGAGCCAAGGAGAGAAATTTTACCTTGTTTGGCGGCCGAAAAGTGCTCCGGTGCGGCGGGGGGTGGCGACGGTCGGTTCCTCCAGTGGCTGGGCTGTCTTCTCCGGCGAGGGCTCTGGTGGCTAGGGTTTGGGATTGGGTGTGGATGAGATTATTTATAACCTTTTCCTTTTAATCTGAGCCGTCCATCACGATTTAATCTGGACCGTCCGATCGTAATTAAATTGAAAATGAATTTAGGCCATCCATCGCGATGCAACTTGAGCCGTCCGTGCGTGATTCAATCTGGGCCGTCTGCCCGCGTGTAATCTGGGCCGTCCGCATGCGCGTTTGATCTGGGCCATTCATGCGCGCGGGAACGGATCTCAGCCGTCCGATTGCGCGCACGTGGATCGCCCATATGGCTCCGTTCCACGTGACCTCCCGCGTCAGCATCTCTGCCACGAGGCGTGTCCTGCTTGGCCGGGACTGCTGACCGGGCTGCTGATGTGGCTGCTGACGTGGTGAAATTTTTTTAAATTGTGTTTAAACCCCTGGTTTCCGATTTTCTTTTCAATAACATCACAGAATCTGAATTTTCACCCCTTTTATCCAAAATTATTTTCAATTAAACTCCAAAAATAATTTTACCTATTTTTATCATTATTATTATTTTTATTTCTATTTAATTAAATTAAAATAAATTAAAACCATACATTATTACTTAAATAATCATTTATTACATTTAAAGTTTACAAAAATTAAAAATAAAATTAAAAATAATATTCATAAAAATAATAATAAAATTTTGGGGTGTTACAACTCTCTCCCCCTTAAGGAAATTTGGTCTCCCAAATTTGCCTCTTACTCTTAATCGAACAAATGGGGATACTGGGGTCTAAAGTCTGATTCTAACTCCCAGGTAGCCTCTCTTAGCGTGTGGTTATGCCACACAACCTTTACAAATGATATTTCCTGGTTACGGAGTATTCTGCTCTTTTAGTCGGTGATACCGACTGGTACTTTCTCATAAGACAAGTCCTCTTGGAGTGGAAGCGGTTCATGAACCAAGAGATGAGAGGGGTCCGGGTTGTACTTACGTAACATGGACACATGGAACACATTGTGGACCTTGGAGAGCTCTGGAGGCAGTGCTAGTCTGTAGGCAGCAGTACCAATCCTGTCTAAGACTTCAAATGGTCCAATAAATTGGGGGTTCAGTTTTTCCCTCCTGTCGAACCTACTAATTCTTTTGAAATGAGTGACTTTAAGGAACATCTGGTCGCCTTTCTCCAACGCTAAATCTCTCCTCCGGGTATCCGGATAACTCGTCTGATTGCTCTGAGCCGTCTGAATCTTCTTTCTGATTTTAACTATTTTAGACGTGGTCTCCTCCACCAACTCCGGGCAGAACAATTTTCTATTGCCCACTTTTTTCCAACAAATCGGCGATCTGCATGGGCGCCCATATAACACCTCATACGGAGCCATGCCAATACTCGCTTAGT